GGACGGGCTCGCTGCAGTGGGGCGGGGTGGTGGCACCCTGATGCTTGGCAGCTCGCTGTCTCTGAGCAGCTCAGGTTGAAGCAGAGAGGAAAACATCCAAAGCCATCCCTTGGGAAGCATTAGCACGTGCACATGCACAGGGAAAGCACCAGATACCTCTGGGGCGACACAGCACAGAGCAACCGGAGATCTGTTGAGGAGAGGATGCGAGTACTTACTAATACTGAAGAAGAGCAGAGCCTTCATACAGAGGAACTCCTGGGGTGTGATCTGAAGCCACCCGAACTCCTGAGAGAGGTGCCGCATCCTGACACACTGGCTGTACATTCTGGATTTGTGCATCCGGTACCTGGCAGGGCGAGACGCGTAACGCACGGCAAGGAGGTGACAGCGGTGCCTGTGTGATGCGTGGGGGAGGACACGCTCTGCCCAACCCAGCAAGCCCAGCCGTGCCTGGCACATCCCCGCTGCCAAGTCCCTGAGCTCTGTCTCGGGGGATGCGCGCAGCAACAGGCCTGCACGCAGGAGAGGAATGTTTTCCAAAATTCCTGTGTGTAATCCTCTTTGTCTTTGTCTAGAAACGGATGACTACCTGGGATTCGCAGGGCTTGTCTGACCCTCTGCCTTCCTGAAAAACGACTGCCATGACTCGCCAAATGTGGCTATCCATGAGGGACACGGAGCTGAGCTCAGAGCTCTCGGAGAGCAGCTGTGGTTTTGCTTGCCGCTGTGCTCGGCTACCGTTTTTAAACTCTACCTTAGTGTCTACCTTAGTGTCAACAAACCCTCCCCGACTCCAAGCTGATGGTACATCAGAGAGAACCCATCAGGAACTTAAAATAAACGTTTGTTCCTGCTGCTGCTCGCTCCAGCTGACCGACCAAGCTGAAAACAGGAACTCAGATCCCACAGAAAAAAAGCAGGTCTGTACGGACTGGCCCCTCACACCCAGCACCAGCACTTGCTGCTGCCCTGACGGAAGCTGAACCCAAGGCAAGGTTGCGGGAAAGGGAAGAAGGACCAGGAGAGACATTGCAACTCTCCGTATTGCTCCTGGAGATCACTGCAGAGCAATTAGAGGGGAAAAGCAGGGCCCCCCTGTGCTTTGCTGGTCAGCTCTGGAAGCACGATCACTCAAGCTGTACACTTCCTAAACGGATGGGAAAGCAAGTTCCTTGTTCTCGTTTCTCACCTAGTCTGACCCAGACAGAGCACAATATTAGATTGTTGTTATTTTGCACTTACTCATTGAAGACCAAATCTGGAGCGAAGTAAAGCATCCTGGAATTGACATTGGTGAAAGATCTCCAACCCATAGCAAAAACCATGAGGCCCATCCAAGAGTACTGGATTATCGACATCTGGTCATCCACATGCAGGTTGCGAAATCCTATTGAAAAATGAGAGGGATGTTGCAATGTACTGTTGGCTTCCCGCAGGCTGCAGGACCCTTTCCGCGCAGACCCCAGCTCTCCCGCAGCGCTCCTGTTACGACAAGGCGGTCCACAGCCTAACCTCAGCTCGTCCCTGGACGCAGCGCGCAGCCACGGCATCAGCAGCCAGGCTGCTCGCACCCCCCCCAAGACACCAGGAACAGCCCAAGCACAAAACTGCAATAGGAAGGGGAGAAAGGGGATCCCCAGACACCGGGAGGGGACAAGGAAAAGCAAGAGCACCAAAGCATTTTAAAGGAAGGCAATGACAGAAAGAAACGACATCTTCCCCCAGGAGTCTCGAGGACCTTCACCAGTTGCATTTGAAGGCTTTGCAAGACCCAGTGAGGTGAACAAGCATCGTTCTGCAACAGGCTGGACAAAAAAGCCACACTGAAGGATTCAGTGTCTTCCTAAGGTCCCGCAGGACAACGGCTCCAGCTACAGGTGCCGAGCAGGTCCCCGGCGCCGGGCGCGCGCCGCCGCAGCCCTCCTTTCCGGCGCCAACTGGGTACCCAGACCGACCCGGTCTTACTGCGCCACGTGCCCTGCAGCCACGGCGCGACCGCTGGGTCTCCACTCCAAAACATGCACAACTACCAGG